ATTTATGTTTTGGACGGTCCAAATTGGACCAAACTTTTGGTGCCACCAAACTGGTGGTGTCCAGCATACATAGTCATTGGAGTTCGTACAAGCTCATTATATCAAGAATCAACGTTGGTTCATCCCCATAGGACCTATGGGGATGAACCATATGGGGACCATCACCTATGGCATAGGTGATGGTAATGGAGCAGGAACCAATTCACGCCGTCAATTAATTATTTACGACTCTCAGCATGGCTCACGACTCGGCTACTTCTCTTAGTCTTCGAGGTCAGTTACTGCTTGCAACGATACTCCACGACTACTATTACTGCTACCTCTTCTTTGTTATCTCTGACGATTCTGTGACGAAAATTTCTGTCGCTGTTCCTGAACGGTTTAGGCTGAACTCTCAACGAGTAAGCGTATGAGGTGCTACAACTTCTGGACGCGATGAGGTCGTTCTGTTCATCTCGGATGTGAATTTCAATTGAATCCCAGAGCTTTCACACTGTGAAAGCTCTCGGATTCAATTGGTCTTATTTCCTATCGGTATTTTCCTACTGAGTCTTCACATTGTGAAGACAATGTGAAGCTCACAATGCCCAGCTAGGACCGGTCAACAGTATCGTGATAAGTTCCGTTCTCTACTGTCTTCCGGTGAGTAGGAAGTTTCGCTTTTGTGTTCTATACTGTGTTGCTTTTCAGGAGAAGTTGAGTCTTGGAAGACCTTATTCTGTTTAAGTTCATTGTTGACAACTAGCTCTCACTCAAGCCCGCCCCCGATAGTCGTGTCGATCGCTCTACTACTACAACGTCGGGTTCTGTTAATTCATAATCTCGGAAAAGGGTCTCTTTCAGGTCTGATCCTCCATTGGCGAGGCACCTCACGTTCGGGTATATTATGCTGATCTGATCAGTCTGATCAGCTCCAGCGGGCATGCGACATAGTACAAACAACGCTGCCGAGGGCCTGCACGATGCCCTGAAGTGTTTCATGGGTCATCGCCGTTCACATGAACGATTCTTCATTCATCAACTGAGAAAGCACAACGAGCGGATGCGCATCAAGCTCCGAATGGAGGATGGTGAGCCTTGAATAAGGCGGTGGCCTTCCAAGGCTGAGGAAAGGC